TTCAGAATTTTGATGTTTAAAAATATTTATTCTTATTTTTAATTATTTTATTTATATCAATCACTTTTATTATAATTTGAATTATTTCAAATTATTTTACACTCATTGTTCATAGTTAATTATCTCAATCTGTTTCACATTATCTCGAATTATTTACATAATATTGTGTTATTTCTAGCGTAATATTGTGTAATAATCTTTTGTAATATTTCGTAATTTTATATTTCACAATATTGTGAAAGTTATTATGTAATATTACGGTATTCTTACACTTCGTAAATTATTGTGCAATATTACACCCTATTAAATTTGCTGATGTTATATTCACACATGCCAAAACAATGATGAACATCTATGCAAAATCCATCTTACTTCACAAAACTCTGACACTTCCAATTCCTCAAACCAACATATTTACAAAAATATTTATCAATATTTCTTAAAACAATCACTTCAATCTTACCCTGCCCCTCCCTCTTCTTCTGATACACCTATACAATCAATACCCAAAATTCAACCTATTTTTAATTTTACTTGTTTTGACAAAGAAGGATCCTACCCTGCTATCTTCTCTATTCCTTTTCTCACACAAATCTTCTCAAAACTAGCTAATAAAGCAGAAACCTTCTATAATAAAAAAAATAATATCACCTCTAACATCCGCCACAATACATTCTACTTCTATATCTACTTCAACAAATATCTTAAAATAGCTGCTAAAATGATAAAATCTATAACCTATCACAAGATAAATCTATTAGTAAACTTCTCAAACAAACTACAGACTCTATCTTTATTGGTAGAGTAATATCTTATTTTAATATTCTTAAAAATCCTAAACAAATATTTTCTCAAATCTATACTCAATATAATGAGCACTACCTCCTCCAAGCTAAATAGCTTATTATCAATTATTACAAAATTATTAAGCCAACAATTTCTAATACACTTCTTCTTGGACCACCAAAACCCCAAAACCAATCTTCTGACCTCAAAAAATCTTCACAACCTCTCAATACAAACCAATCTTTTTAATTAAGTCTTCTGCAAAGTATATGAAAGCAGCTACCACCTCTGAGATTATAATGTCCTCCACTGTATGTAGGCTATTCTCAGAAAAGAATAATGTAAGTAGACAGGCAGAAAAGCCTATTTATATAGAAGGGCCAAGTAATAATGGTCAAACTCAATGTATAGAGCAAACTTTGGCCTCTTGCATAGCCATGAGAACCAGGCATATGGTGAGCACTTTTGCAGAAGACCTTCCTTCTATCTCCTCAGACACCAATTCATCTCACTCTTCTAAGGAGACATGTTTTAACAAATTTTTTTACAAATATAACCTTCCCCCTCTTCTATCTCCACAAACTCTTAAATCATTCCTCCAACATCTTTTACAAAACTCATTTATACAACCATATAAAATTTCTGTTAATATTGCTATACTCAAAACTCATATATATCTTAATACTACTGACACTATCTTACCCAGGAACATTTTAATTATCTCTTAACAGTATTCAATATACTACAAATCCTCTATCCGATCTGCTCACCCTTTTCTAATTACCTTAGCCTTACTATAGCAACCCATAATATCAAAAGCTTCAATATAGCCTCTAAAAGACAAATTTGGCAAGATTATTGTATTAATCATAATATCTCTATTGCTTTGCTTACAGAAACCAAGATCTTTCACAAAACTAAACTTTTCTTCTGTAATAACAATTTCTATACATACTACTAGTCTAATTCTGAATGTTCTGTTGAAGATACTGCTATCATGATCCAGAATTATCTTAAACCCCATGTTCACAGCTACTATATACACTCTGGAGATGCTCTTGCACTTGATCTTTTCTTTAAAAATATTATTAAATTATATATTATATCTGTCTACCTTTCATTCACCAACTCTACAAAGAGAAACCTTACCCAAAACACTATTATTAACTAGATTCTACAAGCTAAACAACAAAATTTGTATCCTATTGTTTCTGGTGACTTTAATATTTATAATGATACCAGTAACTCTTCTATGGTGCTGGAAGCCTATACCCAACAATCATGGGATTTGTTTCAATTTTGCCAATGATCAATTTTCATGTGCAGATCAATAATTAAAGCTAGTTAAATAGTGTTAATAACTTGAATTTACATTTTAATTGCTTTTTATTTTAATTAATTATTGTTCCATTATTTTTTCAATACTTTCTGGCAAGCGATGATGCGATTTATATTTACTAACAGCCCACTCTGCTACTCTACCTTCTAAATCCTTATTATAGACATCCATATACCTTCATGACTTTTGCGCAAACTTACGAATAGTTGTTACTGGAACATTATTAAGGGCTTCTGAAAGTCGTATTAATAAATCATTATAATTATAGATACATGATATCCTAAGTTCCTATTTTACAAAGCCCCAATACTGTTCAATGAAGTTACATTCACAATGGAACTTCGGATATTGTTCGAAAATATAACCCTTTTTAGCAATTGCTTCTTCCAATAATGAAAGTTGTTCACAGAAATCTGGTTGTAATAATATAATTTTCCATGCATAGCAGTCCAAATCTTCTAACTCATTTTTACTTTTCCCAGAACAAAGCTTACACACCAAATTTACCCCCCCAGCTGGCCAGAGGTTGTGTTCTTCAAGTATTCACTAGATACCTTTTGGTTGTTCTCTCAACTTTTCTACTGGATAGTCTTTTGAAATATTATTTTTTAATCTTGCCTTTCTCTGTACTCATCGATATACCAATATGCATTATAGGTTGTTTTCCTCTGGAGCCTTTATTCATCCTTGATGCAACTAATATATTCTCCGCCATTGCATTATGGTTAGTCGATTGGTCTAAACAAAAAACCCCTATACATCCAAGATATAATATTTTAAATATAGGTATTGCTCTTTGTTCAAGCTTTATTCAGACAATGATTGCATTAAAGCTTTTGTTAAAAAAAAAAAAAAAAAAAAAAAAAAAAAAAAACCTGTTCCAACATATGCTCTGATTTCCAATATCCATCTTCTTGTACAAAGCAGTCAACAAAAGCATCTCTATACTTGATATGTGGATTAGCCAAGAACTGCTCTTTTGACAACTGTAACAATCCATGCCATGGGTATACGAAAGCAGAAACCATTATGGAATATCCTATATGTTTTGAACACAGAACATCCTCATCCTTTCTGGTCCAAATTTTATGTTGCCCATCATTTGCATAAAAGTGATATTCATCATGTATCACTTGTACTGACTCCTTTTTACCATATTCAAGCTCAGGCTCCACTATTACCTTTAACATATCGCCAGTAAAATCTTTTATACCTTTCTTGTATTTGAATATCCTTTCTAACTATCTCTTTCTATAGAGCACCACATCTAGCCATTCGTGTCCATCATAATACACACCCTTTTTTCTTTCATCATACTTATATCCTAATGCATACATATAAGTATGACATGTTTTCTTAGAGATTATATCCTTTGTGTGTCCTATTTTGGGCAACAATGTTTTCTCTATATACATTTTTAGGGCCCTAGGAGAGCGTGATTCTGGAGATTGCTGCCATAGCTATTCTTGACATCCTTCTAAAAAATTATCATCATCAAGCAAACTTATAGATTTTTTATATTTTCCTTGGCGATAAGAAAGAAGTTCTTCTGATTTTATATACAAATCGCCCCACTTTTGATACATATTGACATATAATTGCTTTTATTCTATATCGTTTTAGCAATCTGAATGCTAGCATTCATTTTGCCTTGTCCATCTAATAACAATTGGATGTACTGGCTTATGCTTATTAGGCGTAAGTTATCATATGTTGATATACTGCTTTTTGATAATTTTTTTATCTGACATTGTTTATTAATATCATCTAAACGTATACATAGGATTGAAGCAGTATCAGTAGGTGATGAAGGGCTTTGTAGAGTCTTATGGGATGATTGTAATAATGATATATTACTTGATGCTTTAGCATCAAGTAATGTGTCATTTGATGCTTCATCATTGGGCAACATGTTACTCGATGCTTCTGCATCAAGTAGCATGTTACTTGATGCTTTAGTATCAAGTAAAATGTTACTTGATGCTTCAGTATTAAGTAACATGTTACTTGATACTTCTGCATCAAGTAACATGTTAATTGATGCTTCAGTATCGAATAACATATTACTCAATTTTTCAGTAGTAAATAATATATCATTATTTTGAAGTTTTTTTTTATCCACCTCTTTCTTTTTATTTTACCTCCAGATCGTAGTTCTTGAATCTTTGAAATATACTCTTTTTACTGATAGGGTGCCAATTTCATCTTCCTTGCCCATTCTTAATGTAGATTCATTTTGCACTTCAGTAACTTCTTGTGTTTCATCTTGGGTTATGAAGTGACCCTTTTTTCTAGATAAATTATTTATTTGGTTTCGTCTTTTTGATATATGAGGCATAGTGAATTAACACTATATTAACTTTCAATAATCAAAACAAATAAGAAAAACAATGAACAAAATAAATATATCACATAGCATATATATATATAATAAAACCAGTATTTTGGCAGAAGCAACGTGACTCAAGTTTTTCATATAATATCATTAGCACCTCTAAATTGATCAGAAATCAAATAAACTAACCAAGCGAGTTATTAACAAATGAAATTTGGAGGTGCAAAAGTAATAATCTAATAAACAAGATGTTAACTTTCATGAAATACAGTAATTCATTATAACTTTTATTAGTTGAACCATTTATTTTATACTTAGTAAAATAAGCTATATAATCCTTGCTATCTTCGTTACCCTATCATATATTATTGTACAGTACATTTTAGATTTTATTTCAAATTGTTATTGTGTGCTTATCTATATAGTAAATTATTAATTGCACAGTTTAGTTTACACTATTATTTTATGTTTGTAATGTTTTTGACAATTGTGTGCAAAAAAATAAAGGCCTTTTAATTGATCTGCACTAACCAATCAGATGCTTTGCTTGTTTCAATTTCAAAAAAACATAGTAACTTTAAAATGCATCAACTTGTTATAGAAACAATATTTTGAAAAACTGACTAGTAACTTTGTTCTTTATAGCTAGCTTTACAAAGTTACTAGACAGTTTTTTGAAATATTGGTTCTATAAAAGTTGATATATTTTAAAGTTACTATGGTTTTGTGGTCACGTGATTGTTGGGTATAGACTTCTAGCACCATACCAAATACAAACTTATTAATTTCCTTCACCGATCAAACATGTTTGATATTGTAGCCCATCTTAACAACTCTAATTACACTTGGTCCAACAACACTAGTTCTAGTTGAATTGATTATATTTGGACAGACTTATTTAATCTACAATTCCTTCTCAACTTCTATCTTTACAATAGCAAAACTAGTACCCTTAGCAATCACCTAATCCTTATATCTTTCTGGACATTTTCTTATGCTTTTAGCAAATCTTCTCACTTCCACACTAATATTAGTCACAGAATCTTTGACTATAAATCAACTTCCTCTAACCAATAGACCCAATTCTCTAACCTTGCTTATAATCTCTTTACTCAGCAACATGTCTCTCTACATATTCATACATCTAAGAGTATCGATACCACTTGGCATAAAATACAGCACTGCATTTTGCATGCTGCTATCCAAACCCTCCTCAATAAAGTAACCCGCAAGCATAGTTACAACTATAAGTACAATTCACAATGTACTGCTCTTCATATTGGCCTCAAAAAACTTGGACATCTAATCAAGACTATTACCTCCAACTCATCCAATAAATATCTACCTCATATCAACTTTTATATTCTAATCATCAACTCTTATACTCATAGTAAACTTCTAACCCTTAACTCTCTTGATAATGTATTAATCCAAACATGATTACAATATGTATATGGTACCTGGAAACAAATATCTTATGCATATCACCTTGAACACTTTCTTCGACTCAGATACCAAATCAATAAGATCTCTGAGAAAAGGTGTGAAACCCTGGTTTTTACATCAAGAAAATAAACTTAACAACAAAGCTGATGAACTAGCCCATAATCATTCTAATGTACCAATTCTTGCTCTTAACCCTAGCAATATATACAATACTTAATTCACTTCTCTTTTCAACAGCTTCCCTTTAGAGCTCTCTGTTCAGCATAGCATCTGAACTATCTGCAATACAAATATTCTTGTACGTTGGTCCTCTCAATATTAATTTCAACAATAGTCTTCTCTTTCTCAGGATATTTATTAAAATGCTACCTGGCTTTATTTTAATAACAATCAAAAAGCTTCAAACTTCTCGCACAGCTTCCAATCATCAATACTTAAAACATTTATAGTTAAACTGTTACTTGATAAACTTCCATCTCCACATATTCTTCATAAAAGATATCCTTCTTATTCTAATTCCTGCTATATATACCAACAATCTACCGAAGCACTATACTAGGCATTTTGTCCTTCTTTAAACTTAATATTAAACCTTCTTAATATATCTTTATAATATATTTTAACTCCTAGTAAACTTCAAATCTCACAAACCCAAACACAACATCTCTTTAATCAAATTAAAAACCTTAATAGCTTACAAATTCACTCTTTTACCTTTAAATCATCACTGTTCTCTACTATTACTGGTCTTGTCCTAGCTGATATTATAAACACTTTATGAGATTTTACTTCTTCTAACAATCTTGCCTGCTCTCTAACTATTCAATTTCTTCTTCATTTTAACAAACAAATTTATACAAATATCTGGATCCCTTACTGCTTCTCTAGATCACAATCTAATCTTGCCTCTAGCAATAATAGCAATACAACTTCTGCTAATCCTATTGTATTTTCTTCAAATATAACTTCTGTATCTGCAAATCCTTTAAACTTGCCTATATCTAATTCACTTTATAAAATAGAAATCTAGTATTTTAACTAGATCAAATTTTCTTCACACTCTTCCCTTATTCTTACCTATCCTTAATCTAGATAAGCCTTGGCCACTCTGGTAAGTTTAGGCTACAAATAAGCATTTAGGTTTATTTAGATATATGTCTGAGTTCTTTTTCTTAGTTTTAAATTTAAAAGATAAAACCTTTTTTAATTATGTAAAAAGTTTTTGTTAAATCTAATAAAAATAAGAGCATGGTCTTACCTTTAATATTAAAAAAAAAAAAAAAAAGTGAAAACTTCTTCTATTCATAATATTATATAATTTTTTTTATTTCATATTCAGGTTTTTACCTATTTTTTTTCATCTTTTTTTATTGTTCTTTTTAGAATTTTACATTTAGGTTTTTATTATTCTTACCTTTAATTTAGTTTTTCTTTTTTAATCATATTTTCTTATTCTTTTTTCTTATATTTGGTTTTTTATTTTTATTATGTGAATAGAGAAACAGGCTGGTTTGAAGTTTTTTTGCCAAGATCTAGAAAGAAAAAATTAAGTTAGAATCTTTGAACAAGGACTAATTCAAACTCTAAGCTCTCAGGGTCATAGTGTGATGGGTTGTATTTGGGTATTCATATTTGAATAATATCAGGCTTTGTTTAATCTTAAAAATTAAACTATATATTTACTATAAAATATATAATAAAACTAAGAGGTCAAGTCATAGCAAGACTTGTTAAAGATAAAATATATATATATATAAATTACTGAAATCTAGATATATACTCTAGATAAATAGGGCTATTTTGATAAAATTATTTCAAAAATAAATTAAAAAACTAGTTTTATTATAAGATATAATTAAAATCTAAAAAATTTGTTTTTAAGATAATCAGAATAGTAAAGGGTTAGAGATTTTACTTAGTAAGAATAAGGTTGTTAATTAGAAATTTTAAATAAATAATCTTGTAGATTGGGTTATAAATATAATAGCTAGTATAAAACTTTAGATAAAATAACTTAGATATAAACTATTTAAATTAGATATTAAAAGTGGGACCCGATTCATTAACTCTTCCCAACGATCACTTGTACCAAAATTTGCTAAAACAAAACTTAAGTTTTCTTAAAATTGCTCCTCCTAATATACTTTTTTTATTAAATTTTATTGTTCTACACCCAAATTCATATATAGTTACCAAGTTTTATAGCTTTA